TCCTGCATAAGCACAGAAGGTTGTAGACACCCTGGTGCTGGGCTCTGAAGAAAAGATGCATTACCTTTTTAAATGACAGTCGTTCAGGATTATGGGAAAATTCAAAGTTAAGGAAAAGTATTTTAAAAGTCCATCAAAATCCACATTTGGCCAGGTGAGGTGGCTCACACTTATAATCCCAGCACTTTGGGAGGCCGATGCAGGTTGGATTGCTTGAGCTCAGGAGTTTGAGACCAGCCTGGACAACATAGTGAAACCCATCTCTACAAAAACACAAAAAATTAGCCGGGCGTGGTGGTATGTGCCTGTGATCCCAGCTACTTAAGAGGCTGAGGTGGGAGGATTGCTTGAGCCCAGAAGCCGGAGGTTGCAGTGAGCTGATATCACGCCATTGCACTCCAGCCTGGGCGACAAAGCGAAACCCTGTCTCAAAAAAAAAAAAAAAAAAAAAAGAGGCCGGGTGCGGTGGCTCATGCCTGTAATCCCAGCATGTTGGGAGGCTAAGGCAGGTAGATCACCTGAAGTCAGGAGTTCGAGACCAGCCTGACCAACATGGAGAAACCTCATCTCTACTAAAAATACAAAAATAAGCTGGGCCTGGTGGTGGATGCCTGTTATCCCAGCTACTTGGGAGGCTGAAGCAGGAGAATCGCCTGAACCCAGGAGGCAGAGGTTGCAGTGAGTCGAGTTCACGCCACTGCACTCCAGCCTGGGCAGCAAAAGTGAGACTCCGTCTAAAAAAAAAAAAAAAAAAAAAAAAGAATCCACACATTATCCTTACGCAGATTCTTAGGCTCCTTTCTGCCCCCCAGAGTGATTTGCTTGCTTGCACTCCTTATATAGTCATCCGTCAGCATCTGTGGAGGATCAGCTCTAGGACTCCCCACATATAGAAAATTCATAGGTGCTCAAGCTCCTTATGCAAAATGATGCAGTTGGCCAGGCACGGTGGGCTCACACCTGTAATCCCAGCACTTCGGGAGGCCAAGGCGGGCAGCTCACCTGAGGTCAGGAGTTCGAGACCAGCCTGGCCAACATGGTGAAACTTCTACTAAAAATACAAAAAATTAGCCAGGCGTGTTGGTGCGTGCCTGTGGTAGTCCCAGCTACTCAGGAGGCTGAGACAGGAGGATCACATAAACCTGGGAGGCAGAGGTTGCAGTGAGCCAAGATCGCACTATTGCCCTCCAGCCTGGGTGACAAGAGCAAAACTCTGTCTCAAAAAAAAGAAAAAAAAAAAAGGTTGGGGGCAGTGCAGTGGGCCCTCGATAGCCACAGGTTCCACATCTGCCAGCGCTATCCCTGGATGTCAGTGATAGTCCATACCTTTTTAGCTCTGGTACTGTGAAGGGGACTTCATGTGGCTTATTTTCACTCACCCTCCTAACAGTTCTGTGAGTGGCTACTATTAGTCCCACTGTACAGAAGTGAAAACTGAGGCTCTGAGTAATGTGGCTCAAGGTCACCCAGCTAGTAATGAGGCTGCCAGAGTGAAGGGACCCATGGTATTTTTTCTGAAGCCTCTGGGAGGCTTCAGGTATTAGTTTATTTTCCTTTTTCTTAAATCCTCTAATGCTTTAGGCCCCAGGGCCTTGCAGGCATTGTGAGATCTGAGTTGGGGATCACATGGCAGTGCTTTCTGTTCTGTTCTTTCCCTGTCTAGGCATCATGGCCATCCTGTTCTCAGGCATCGTGATGTCCCACTACACGCACCATAACCTCTCCCCAGTCACCCAGATCCTCATGCAGCAGACCCTCCGCACCGTGGCCTTCTTGTGTGGTGAGTTCTGCGTCTGTGTGGCCATGCGCAGGCCCACCCAGAGCTGATCTTTCTTCCTTACCCTGTTTTAGAGTCAGTTGAGACTTTCCTTGGCAGCAGGGCAGCAGCTTCTCAGAGCCAGATCCCGTACTCGCTTATCTTTTGTTTGTTCCTCTGGCTTTGAAATTTCATAAAGTAAACCAAACACCTAATAAATGAACATCTGGTGCCTACGATTTAAAGACCAAAAATAGTGAGAACCAATTATGAACATTTGAGACATGAATTTTTAATGTATTAATGTGACATTTCCAAAAATGTAGTCCTTGGAAATAGTATTAATGATGGTTAGATGAAAATGGCTCCATAGTCAAGCAAGGCATGGGGCTCACGCCTGTAATCCCAACTGTTTGGGAGGCTGAAAGGATCACTTGAGCCCAGCAGTTCGAGGCTGCAGTGGGCTATGATCTTAAAAAAAAAAAGAAAGATAGAAAAAGATAAATTTTGTAGTCAAACAAGAGTTTAGGAAATCCTGGTTAAATAAAATTTAACATTTATGAATTGCCAGACTTTTCAGCAAATGTGCATTGTAAAATCCTTAACGGGGGATATAGTTACAGAATTTTCCAAACTTGTCCACAGAATCTTTTATTCACAAGAGCAGCCTGAGGGACATCACTCGAGGACAGTTTGCAGTAGAGGTGTCATTTGTTGGGCTGGGATAAACCATGATGGCTTTGTCTTTAAGCAGTTTGTTCGAGCTTATTCTCCCCACGCTCAGACATACCCATGTATCTCCGCACCAACTTTATACTTGGAAGTGGTTGGAGTCGGGGAGCAACTCTCACCATGTCTCTCTAAGCTGGCCCCCCAGTGGCTCCTGCCCTAGTTGTCATCATCAAAGTCACTCCTGGCATTTTGGGGGATTTGTCTCTCTCTTTTTTTTTTTTTTTTTTTGAGACGGAATCTCGCTCTGTCGCCCGGGCTGGAGTGCAGTGGCGCGATCTTGGCTCACTGCAAGCTCCGCCTCCCGGTTTCACACCATTCTCTCACCTCAGCCTCCCCAGTAGCTAGGACTACAGGTGCCCGTCACCACACCCGGCTAATTTTGTTTTTTGTATTTTTAGTATAGACGGGGTTTCACCGTGTTAGCCAGGATGGTCTTGATCTCCTGACCTTGTGATCCACCTGCCTCGGCCTCCCAAAGTGCTGGGATTACAGGCAAGAGCCACCATGCCCAGTCATTTGTCTCATTTTTAATTGCTACTTCCACACTGTTAGCATGCCAGAAGGCAGGGGCAGGCCAGGCAGAAACTTCAGCAGATAAGGAGGCTCAGGTGAGGAGTAGTCACATGACTTGCCCATGGTCTCACGGCCAAGAAGTGGGTATGCAGGCCAGGTCTCTTTATTCCTGGGCCAGGTCTCTCTATTCCTGGGCCAGAGGGTATTATTTGTACAGCACCTCTCTCAGAAAGTGAGACTACAGATTCTGACTCTGACCCTCCCAGTTAAAGACACATAAAGCAAATCATCCATCCAAAAAGATTCTGTTTTTTACCCAGCAGACTGGCAAATGTTAAGCTTGATAATACCCACTTCTGGCCTTGGTGTGTGGAAAACAGGCCTACTGGAATCTTTTCTGGAGAGTCATTTGCCACGTCTGTCTGAATTTAACAGGCGCGTACTCTTTGGCCCAACAGTTCAACCGTGTGGAATCTAGCCTGTACTGGGGTGTTTGCTGAACCTCTCAGAAATAGAAACAATCTACATATCTATCCATAGAGGATTGGTCATTAGAAAAATTGTCAAATTTTGACAGTTTGTCAAGTGTGACTGAAAGACCGTCAAATACTCTGCAGATAAACATGATCCCACCCAGGGAAGAGGATAAATACGATTCTGCCTGCTGGCTGAACACTGTCACTAGCAAGGGTCCCAACTATGGCAAAGTGGCAAAAATTCAGAGCAAATGACTGCGATGCCACATGACAAATGTGAAGGGGCTTTGGTTAACCATGATATATCCAGACCCTGGAGTTGATACTGCCAGGGAAAAGCATCCACTAGATCTGAATGTCTTCTAAATGTGCTCATTTGGAAAGATCACACAAATATTAGATAAGAAAAAATTTCAAAGAGAGGAGGGGGTGTAAACTCTCCGGCTTGTGGACTTGTTTTAAACTTGGGTACCATTCAAAGGAAAAACATTGTTAGAATGTAAAACAGCCTTGCTCTTTATGATCAGCTATTTTAAAATACAATTTTAGGCCAGGCGCAGTGGCTCACGCTTGTAATCCCAGCACTTTGGGAGGCCACGGTGGGCGGATCACAAGGTCAGGAGTTCGAGACCAGCCTGGCCAACACAGTGAAACCCTGTCTCTACTTAAAAAAAAAAAAAAAAAAAAATTATCTGGGCGTGGTGGCGGGCACCTACAGTCCCAGCTACTCGGGAGGCTGAGGCAGGAGAATCACTTGAACCCGGGAGGTGGAGGTTGTAGTGAGCCGAGATCATGCCACTACACTCCAGCCTGGGAGAGAAAGTGAGACTCTGTCTCTAAAAAATATATATATACAGTTTTAATCTCTTTAGTCATTATGCTATTCTGAGGGACATCACAGTTTAAGCAGAGAGCCTAGTGTTAGAAATTTATAAGGTGCTTTTTCTTAAAATATACAAGTTTGTGTGACAGAGAGTAAATATTGGGCTCTTTTTGGCTTGCAGAGTGGAGCCAGGAGTTAGCAATGAGTCTCACTCTGCAAATACTGCTGGGTGTGAGCTGTGTTCTAAACCGTGTGGCAATGTTAAATATGTTAAGCTAATCATGTGGAAGTTAACCAAAGACCCCTTCACGTTTGTCATGTGGCGTTGCAGTCATTTGCTCTGAATTTTGGCCACGTTGCCACAATTGGGACCCTAGCTAGTGATAGTGTTCAGCAGATCGGCAGATTCATGTGTTTCCATCTTCCCTGGGCGGGATTGCGTTTATTTGCAGAAGTATTTGACAGTTGACTCATTACATTAAGAGATTTCTGAATACCAGGGACATATTGCTTATGTAGTAGAAAAGAATAAGAGAATTTAAGCACAAGTTTGGCCAAGATATTGGCTGCAGGGTTTTCAAGAAAATAAGGAAAATGTTGTATTGGATTCTGCCTGTGAATGTTTGCTTGCTTAACAGTTTAGTACCATATTGGAATGAAATCATTGAGGGTGAATAATCCATTCTTTGGTTTGTTTCAGAAACGTGTGTGTTTGCATTTCTTGGCCTGTCCATTTTTAGTTTTCCTCACAAGTTTGAAATTTCCTTTGTCATCTGGTGCATAGTAAGTATTTTCCTTGTTTTTTTATTTAATTACTTATTTGTAGATCAATAAACACATGTTCCGGATTCGTTTATGTAACTGTTAACTGTTCAAAGTCAACAGCTACATAGACAGTCTTTTGTTTAAAGTTTCTTTTGTTAAAAAAAAAAAATCACAAACATACACTAAGGGGGCAGGGGTAGAATTAAGTGAATAAATATCCCCAGCAAGGACTTTTTTAAGGTTTTTTGGGTTTTTTTTTGTTTTTTTTTTTTGTTTTCTGAGATGGAGTCTTGCTCTGTCGCCCACACCGGAGTGCAGTAGTGTGATCTCAGCTCACTGCAACCTCCACCTCCCAGGTTCAAGTAATTCTTGAACCTGGCCTCAGCCTCCCAACTAGCTGGGATTACAGGCACACATCACCATGCCCGGCTAATTTTTGTATTTTTAGTAGACCTGCTGTTTCATCATACTGGTCAGACTGGTCTTGAACTCCTGACCTCGTGATCCACCTGCCTCAGCCTCCCAAAGTGCTGGGATTACAGGCTTGAGCCACCGCGCCCAGTCTTGTTTTGTAAGATTTTTAATGGCCTTGAATATTATGGTCTTTAAATAAAAGTACAGGTTTGTAGGTTTTTGTGTGAGGAGGTAAAAGCAGATTTCAAAATTGAATATGTAATTGATCATAACCATGTAAAACTATTATGCACAGAAAAAAAGAAAGTATGTAAAGAAAATATAGCCACATGTTCACAGTGGTTATAGAGCTGGGATTTCTTTCTCTTTCCTAATTTTTCTGGATAGTTTATTATGTACTTCTTACTGCAGTTTTCTTCAAATTTGTCTATTTATATTTGTCTGTTTATAAGATAGTCTTCCTGCAACCTGGGTACTTCCACCTGTCACTCAACAAGAGCTCATTGCTCTTGGTCACTGTTATTCGTCCTCCAAACTCAGGTTTCAGGGCAAAAAAAAAGCAGCAAAAGTAGCAAAAGTCCTTTACAGAAAGTATAATAGCCTAGGCTGGACGCAGTGGCTCACACCTGTAATCTCAGCACTTTGGGAGGCCGAGGCTGGTGGATCATGAGGTCAGGAGTTCGAGACCAGCCTGGCCAACATGGTGAAACCCTGTCTCTACTAAAAATGCAAAATTAGCTGGGCGTGGTGGTCTGCGCCTGTAATTCCACCTACTCGGGGGCCTGAGGCAGGAGAACTGCTTGAACGCGGGAGGTGGAGGTTGCAGTGCAGTGAGCCGAGATCTCGCCATTTGCACCCCAGCCTGGGCAAAAAGAGCGAAACTCCGTCTCAAAAAAAAGTGTAATAGCCTTTAGTGTGGCCACTGGATAAAAGGGGACACATTTAATCAAACCTGAAACACCAGTGTAGGCATGGAAGATTGGATTTCAGTGGGTGAAACAGGGAGGTGACTATTTCAGCCACAGGTTGGGAGGAAAATGAGAGGATGCCCTGGGGTGACAACTCAGTTTTCTCTAAGCAGTTAGGCCCAGGCTGGCCCTGCAGCTAGTGGAGATGGCCTGTGCTGTTCAGATGGGTTACAGTTCCTACCCTGTAAGCTCCGCTTAGTGGTCAAGAGCATGGGCTTTGGGGTCTGAACCAGATTTGAGGCTTGAATCCATTACTTCCTGCCTTGTCAACTTGGACCAATTACTTCATCTTTCTATACCTCAGTTCCCTTGCCTATAAACTGGAGATAATAATACCTACCTTATAAGACCTTTGCAGGGATTTAAATTTAGCAGGATAATGCACGTAAAATGATCAGCATGTTGTCTGGCATAGAAATGTTTGATGATTGGAAACATTTACTCTTGACCAGGCATGGTGGCTCACGCCTATTATCCCAGCACTTTGGGAGGCTGAGGCGGGCAGATCACTTGAGGTCAGGAGTTTGAGACCAGCCTGGCCAACTTGGCGAAACCCAGTCTCTACTAAAAATACAAAAATCAGCTGGGCATGGTAGCACACGCCTGTAATCCCAGCTACTAGGGAGACTGAGGCAGGACAATTGCTTGAACCTGGGGGCCAGATGTTGCAGTGAGCCAAGATCGCACCACAGCACTCCTTCTCAAAAAAAAAAAAAAAAAATACTGTAAAATTCATGCTTGTTAAAGGAATAAACTGAAAGCCTAAAGAATGTGCTTTGTTAAAGGAATAAACTGAAAGCCTAATGAATATGTCTGTGTCATCCTTTTCAAGTAGTTATGGTAAGAACCAAGATGAAGAAAATGAAAGTAAAGTAATAAATGTCCTAAGAATCCACTTGGATAAGATTTAAACTTTAGGCTGGGTGCGGTGACTCACACCTGTAATCCTAGCACTTTGGGAGGCAAAGGCAGGAGGATTGCTTGAGACCAGGAGTTTGAGACCAGCCTGGGCAACATAGCAAGACCTCATCTTTAACTAAAAAGTTTAAAAAATTAGCCAGGCATGGTGGTGCATGCCTGTAGTTCTAGCTACTTGGGAGGTTAAGGTAGGAGGATCACTTGAGCCCAGGAGGTTGAGGTTGCATTGAGCCACAATCGCGCCACTGTACTCCAGCATGGGAGACAGAGCGAGACCTTGTCTCAAAAAAAAAAAAAACAAACAACAAAAGATGTGAACTTTACATAAAGCTGTACTTTGCCAAGACTAACATGCCTTTGGAGTTGGAGAGGAACCAAAAGCCACAGTAAGAAGCTGGCCGGCTAAGCCAGGGCATATGGCCTCCCTGTAGACCCTACCTCTGCGTTCCTCTTGCTCAGACAGCAGTGTTTCCACGCATGGGTAGGTCCTTCACAGCTGCCCTCCTTTCCCTGAGGGAGAGGCAGAAACACCTTGTCTGTCCCCTTAGGGCTGGAATGATCAATGCAGGCCTGTCCCAAGGAGGAGTGCCTTTGGAGTCAGGTTTTCCTTAAACTAATCTGTGAATACTTCTGTACAGCCTCTTGGCATTCAGTTTTGTTCTGCTGTCATTACTAATGCCCTTCCTGGTACCTCGTCAGTTCTCTTTTCTGGCTACTGAGAAAGCTAACGTAGAAACCTTTATCCTTTCCTCAATGCATAGAATCCCGCAGCTCCGGCAGCACGCCCATGCTGGGTCTCTCGCGAGCGTGGTGTTGCTCGTGTCTTTTGTGGCTGAGGGGAATGAGGGGAATGCTGCATTTGTACTGGATGTGTTACACAGTCTGCAACAGCTTCAAGAAGCTTCAGTGTGAAGAGCCAGATGTTTTCACCTAAGACTTAGTTTGTTGCTATCAACAGGTGCTTGTACTATTTGGCAGAGCGGTAAACATTTTCCCTCTTTCCTACCTCCTGAATTTCTTCCGGGATCATAAAATCACACCGAAGATGATGTTCATCATGTGGTTTAGTGGTAAGTCAAATCTTGAATAAATGGAGTGGGGAAATACCTGTTAAAAGCACGCCCCACACAGAGAGAGCCATGGTTCTCTGCTAGCGCCCTTGGCAAAGCCACAAGTAATCAATACTCCCGTCTAATGGCACCTACTGCAGCCAAGATGGTGCCCCTCACCATGGTGCTATGAAGTGGGCGAGGCTAGGTTGGAAGAGGGCAAAGGACATGCCCAGGGTCATGTGACCACTGGAGGCAGAGCCGGGATTTCTGCCACTCTCCCCTGGATAGGACAGTGCAGTCCAGGACGCAGCTGGGCGTGGCTCAGTGCCTCCCTGTGGGTTTTCTAGACTGAAGTAATAATGGACTCAAGGTAGAAAAGGTGAAAGTTGAAACTGTTTCATACCTTATGTTAGTTTTGGATATTTTTCCTTTAAGTCACAAAGTTCTGGTAGTTTAATTTGAATGTTTCAGTTGCTATTTAATTGCTTTTTAAAGGATGGAAATGATTTCATAAATCTTTGCTTCTAAAGAACTGGATCCATAGGCATCCTTAAATTTATTTTTTGAACAATACATACTGTTCTTTATGCTTTCTTGCTTAAATATTGTAATTAAAGTATTTTCCGTGTGGGTTGAGTTATAGCAACATACTTTATAATGTTCTTTATCCAAAGGCATATCTGCAAGTTTGTCTCAGATTTCTCTTCTTTCTAAAGGCCATGTTTAAAACTGTATATGTTTCATATATATGTACGTATATGTCTATGTATGTATACATATATATATGGTGAGAAAAACTCATTTTTTTCCTAATCTCTTTTTCTAGTGAGGCAAACTACTTTGTAAAGTGGTTGCAGAAGTGTGTCAGAGGTTTTTGAAGTGATGTGAGCTATTTGGGAAGGGGGCATGAGGATAAGAGAGCGTTACAGGGAAGGTTGGAGTGTATTTGAAATGGCGGGGGCTGTCAGCTCCTGTTCTCTCCCAGGCTCCCCAGGCTCTTGCTCCGTGGGTTTCCATCCAGGCTTTCCTGGATCTTCAACGAGGGGCACCGAACAAGCGTCTGCTTCCGGCCCCTCCTATCATCATTTAAGCAATCAGAGCTTCTCCTCCTTCCTACAAAACACCAGGAACTTCAGCCAGAGTTCCTCCTCACGTCCCCCGCTGCTGCATCCACGCCTCTTTCGCCATGGCCAGACCCCTACGAGTGAGCCATGCTCGCTCATTTTCCCCACTTCTTCACCGTCTGTCCACGGGGCAGGAATTGGCCTTGGCAGGTCACCAGTGACCTCCTGCAGCCAGACGTGGAGGGGAGGGATCCACCCCCATCCTAGTCCACCTCCTTCCTACCGCCCCTGTCTCTGACGAGGACCGTTTCACCCTCTTCCCCGGCCTCTGGGGCAAGCTCCTCCTTTCTCCTCTTTGGTGTCTCCTTGGGCTCGTCCCCCTTCACTAACCCCTCAAATAGCGGCTTCTTCAGGAGTTGGCCCCAGCCCCGCTTCTGTTTGTGTGTTCTGCACTTCACTGAGTGTGCTCACCCATCCACTGGCCTTCTTTTCCACCTAGTCCAAAGCTGTTCCCGCAAACCCAGACCTCTCTCTGGGATCCGTACTCCTGTTTCCAGCTGCCTGTTTGGATGCCATGGAGATGCCGCCATCCCTATGCCTTTGCATCTCCCTTGCCCAAGAAATCTTACTTTGAATTGCCCCATGGCCTGGCTAGCTGGTACTAAGCACTTGCTGGGTACATACCCTGTTAAAGCACATGACATGTGCCATGCCACTGAACCCTCTGGCCTGTGACAGGTTTAGAGAGGCTGAGAGTCCTTCGTCCTTGCCATGTCTCTGTATTATGTGCCCTTTGCTCTTGCCCTGCCATCTCCCCATCTGGGTCTGGCCTGCAGCAGTCTGGCTGTCCTACCCCATGGTGATGTGAGCCTCCCTGCCTTCCTGTCTGGGGCAGGTCCTGGTGCTGTCTACACCCCACCCTCCCACCTTCTCTTCCAGGTACCATTTCACAACCCTCATTTGCTGTGTCTCCTCCCAGCTGCTCTAGGAGCTCCCCAAGGGTGGGGCTAGGACTGCCTGTCCCCTCAGTACGGCGCCAAGGAAGCCAGGAAGCTTCTAAGAGAGGAAAGTGCTGTTTCCCAGCTCAGTCCATGCCCCTCAGTTGTTTCCTAGTAGCCTCACAGGGGACCAGCCAGCCTCTCATTACCACCTAAGCAGCCCACAGCCCCATCAGTGCCACCGGGGGCCTCCACAGGGGCAGCGTCTCGAGATAGGAGGGGTACTGGACACACTACATCCTGTGCTGTTGTGGGTATTAGATGAGTGGCCCTGGGTGGGCCATGCTGCTCTTGGCCTCCATCCCTCATCTGTGTGTTGTGGACAAGAGTATCGCTGCTCGGTAAGGATTCCTGTGAAGATCCAGTGATGCTCTACACGCTGAACACCTGCCCGGGCCTGGCGCACACACAGGAAGGGCTCAGCCCACAGCGGCTGTCCTGCAGTTTCCAGGACACGAGTGTCAGGCTTGATAAGTTCTCCTGCACCCACACCTGGGGCTCTGTAGCTGGGGCAGGCCACCTCATTTGATCTGCCCAAGTGGGCATGGAGGTGAGTCTGTGGTCCCCACATCTCTGCCACCTGCTCTTTACACCCCAAAGCCTCACAGGGCGAGCACACGCCCTTTAGCAGGGCCATTAGAATAATCGGCTGGTCGCAGTGTTGGGCTGGTGGATTTCCAGGGAAGCCAGCCCATGAAGCTGCTGCCTCCTCACTGTGTCCTCTCATGCTGTTTGCTGTCCTTCAGGCCTGCGGGGGGCCATCCCCTACGCCCTGAGCCTGCACCTGGACCTGGAGCCCATGGAGAAGCGACAGCTCATCGGCACCACCACCATTGTCATTGTGCTCTTCACCATCCTGCTGCTGGGTGGCAGCACCATGCCCCTCATTCGCCTCATGGACATCGAGGATGCCAAGGCACGCCGCAGGAACAAGAAGGACGTCAACCTCAGCAAGACAGAGAAGATGGTCAGTATCATGCACCTGCGGGGTGGGGCAGGGGGCTGGCCTGCTGCACAGCTGATGGTCCCCACTGTCAGGAAATGGGGAGATGAGCCTTGCTTTGAGGACGCCCAGCACCTCCACACACACGTCACACACGCACACACACCAGTCCCCCACTGAGAAGGAGGTGACAGAACTTGAGTTCTGAAGCATGGCTCTTGTGGGGGGGGTGTCTGGCAACTTTGTGACCTGCCGCAGCCAGGAAGGCTGTGGGCGACCCCATCTGCTCCCTCTCTGAAGCTCCATAGGGCACCACAGGAGTCTGGGCCTATGCCACTCTCCCAGCAGTGCCTCTGCCCTGCCAGCAGCCGAGACACCTGTCAGAGCCCAGGTTTGAGGGTTTCAAAATCCCATCATTCCCCAGTATGGTTTTACTAAAAACCACCTGTTAGGGGCCTGAGGAGGGGAGGACGGCTTGCGGTGGCTGTGAAGGCCGTGAGGGGTACTCCCCCAAGGACAGACATGGTGTGGGGTTGGAGGTACCCAGGCCCCAGCTGTAGGGAGAGCTGAGGCTCTGCAGCCTGCCCACCTCTTCTTCCTACAAGCCGCTGCCCCTGCCACCAAGCTGCCTTCCTGCCCCGTCTTCACCCTCAGGACCTCTATGCAAAGCTAGGCCCTCTGACCAAAGCAGAGGCTGCTGTAGGCTCCAGCCCAGAGCATCCCCTGCCAATCTTGCATTTCTGGACATGCATCTCTTTCTAGTTTCCATATGCTAGGCCTCAGTAACTTTAATCAGTCATCAGAGGCCCAGGAGTCCTCACGTAGCCATCCACGGCTAACATTGGAGTCAGGGCTGGCAAGACCATGGCCTCCAGTCTCCAAACTGGGCCCCTCAGCCAGTGCAGTGCTGCTGGGAGGAAAGTTCCAGATGGCTGTGAGGCCTGGTTCTACAGAACTTCCATCACACTAAGAGGCCCTTTGCCCCCAACCCCTATCTACCAACTTTTTTGGTTTTCACAAAAGCTCTAGCTGAGGTCTTTCTGGGTATCAGAATTGGTGGGGGGTTGCTACACACAGGCTGCTGGGTCTGTCACCAGCATCTCATAGGTCTGGCATGGGGTCCGAAAGAATTTGTGTTTCTTCTTTATTTCCGAGACAGGGTCTCACTCTGTTGCACAGGCTGAAGTGCAGTGGCGCGATCGTGGCCGCCCACTGCAGCCCGGACCTCTTGGACTCAAATGATCCTCTCACCTCAGCCTCTGGAGTAGCTGGGACTCCAGACAGGCGTGACCCCACCCAGCTAACTTTTTTCTTATTTTTAGTAGAGACAGGGTCTCACCATGTGACCCAGGCTAAGAATTTGTGTTTCTAACAAGTTGCCAGGTAGTACTGCTGCAGCCAATCCTGTGAACACGCTTGGCGAAGCACAGCACTAGCAGAAACAGGACAGCTCCTCTGAGGATGAACCGCTGAGTTTCTGGAATGTTTTCTGTGGCAGTTAATGTGCTTGCATTTTCCTTGGACCATCTCAGATTGTCCCAATAGCCTGCCTGGAAACTGGTGCTTTCATTATACCCATTTTGCAGATGAGAATGCTGAGGCACCAAGAGAATCAGATCAGACAGCTGCGGGCAGACTCCCAAGCCTGCGTTCTTCACCACCACACTGATCAGCAGTCCTCAAAATGGGGTCCCCAGACTAGCAGCATCACTGGAAACCTGTTAGGTCTGCAGATTCCCAAGCCCACTCAGATCTACTGAATTAGCACCTCTGCAGGTGGCTCCGGTGGGCTCCGTATTTTGTGGTTTCACAAGCCCCCCAGGTAGATTCTAATACAGACCAGTGTTTGACAACCACTGCTTCACAGCATCTAAATGCCCTCCCCTCCCCTGCCCTCATCTCCCCTCCCTGCTCCTGCCCCGCACCCATCTCCCCCCCCACCCCCGCCACCACCTGCACCTGTGGCCCCACCAAGGCTCCTGCAGCAGAACGGGCACTGCACTCAGAGCCTGTCTGCTTTGCTCCTACCTCTTCACCTCTGGCCCTCCCCTCCACACGGGGCCCTTTTCTCATCCCTCTCCAATTCCTACAGGATGTGTCCCTCTCCCCTGTCCTCTCCTGACTTGATTGGCAAAAGCCTGTCCATGGTGGAGTCCTAGCTAATAGAGCCACAGGCAAAGAGACAAAAAGCCTCCCTGTGCAATTTGCTGCTAATGAAAAGCCCAGAACAGCAGTTCCGGTCCTGGTTGCATGATAGAATCATCCAAAAAGCTTGAAAAGCTTAAAAACCAAGCCCCAGCCCAGCCCAGTCCTTCTGTTTTAGCTGTCCTAGGTGGGGTCCTGGGCATCCATTGTGCCCTGAGGGACCTTCCTGCCTCCCTGCGGGCTCCCAGGAGGCCGTCTGCTGCCCATCGTCACCCTGCACTGATGGTCAAGTGGAGTTAGGATTGGGGACACTGGCGGCCTGGGTGGTGTGGGGGCTTCCAGAGGTGCCCCCGATGGTGCCCGCTGATGGCCGTCGGGCCGCCTTTCTTCCCTGCTCAGGGCAACACTGTGGAGTCGGAGCACCTGTCGGAGCTCACAGAGGAGGAGTACGAGGCCCACTACATCAGGCGGCAGGACCTCAAAGGCTTCATGTGGCTGGACGCCAAGTACCTAAACCCCTTCTTCACTCGGAGGCTGACGCAGGAGGTGGGATACCGGCCAGGCCACACTTTCTGGGGGTCCCTTGCCTGCCTCCTTCAGGACCTGCGGTGGCCCAGGGTGGGGTGGAGGAAGAGTGGGGAGGCAGAAAGTCTCACGTGGGCCCGCCAGGCTGCCGCCTCCTGATCTGCAGGCTGGACATGCTTGTGGAAGTCGGCATCTGCTGTTTTTCCTTCGCTGCCACGTTTAGTGCGAGGTTAGTAATAGATTTGTTAACACAGTTTGGTTTTCCTGGATGACAGACACGGGGTATCGATCAGCTACTGAATCAGAGCTGAGGAATTTCAGACATACCAGGACCTCAGGCTGTGGCCCAAGGCTGCCCCCAGCTCAGGCCTCTGGTTCTGTCCCTCGGGGCACTGCTGGCCTCTCTTTAGTTGGAGGCCTTGCGTAGGGGTGGGGCTTTTCCTGCGGCTGCCTGCTTTGTTTCTATGCAGGCCCATTTTCCATTCTCGGGCAGGCCTGATAGCTGCCGGTGTGTGCGCTCTTCCAGGAGCCAGGCAGCTCCAGTGACTGTGACCACAACTGCTTCCTTCTCCAGCATCCTGTGCAGTGGATGCAGCTGTCTCCCTGACAGCTGAGGAGATGGAGGCCCAAGGGGGTGCAGTAACCCCGCGAGATCACAGCCAATACGGGCATAATTGGGAGCAGAGCTAAGTGTGTCTGACTCCAGAGACCACATTTTCAACCTCACGCCATGCTACCTCCTTCTTTCTGAATGACACCTCCCATGATCTCCACCCCCACAAAGAACAATCCCAGCTCAGTTTGTTCAATTGAAACTGAAGTTGCCTGTGGCCATCACCCTACCTCCTACCTCCTCCCCAGACACCCCACCCAAGGCACCCAGCAGCCTCCCCTCCCTTCCTTGGCCCTGCCCCTGACGGCTTGGTTGTGTCTCTCGACCCAGGACCTGCACCATGGACGCATCCAGATGAAAACTCTCACCAACAAGTGGTACGAGGAGGTACGCCAGGGCCCCTCCGGCTCCGAGGACGACGAGCAGGAGCTGCTCTGACGCCAGGTGCCAAGGCTTCAGGCAGGCAGGCCCAGGATGGGCATTTGCTGCCCACAGACACTCAGCAGGGGCCTCGCAGAGGTGCGTGCATCCAGCAGCCCCTTCAGGACTCCAGACATAGAGGGCGGGGCGAGGTACTGGCTGCAGAGTCACCTTAGTCCAGAACTTGCCAGACCTCTGGAGCCAGGTGACTTCTTGGGAAACTGTCATCTCCCCAGTCCTCCCTGAGCCAGCCTCTGCTCAGTGTGGCTCGTCGGCCCACAGAGGGGAGGGAGCACGGGGCCAGGTGCCAGTCGTCTGTGAAGCTGGGGCACCTACCCCGCCACCTGGAGGACCCCTGTGGCCCCCTGCCTAGAGCACCATCTACAGGTGTGCCATTCCCCAGCCACTGCCTTCATCCTGCCCCCGCCGGACTGACAGAGCCAGGGGTCAGCCACCTGCCTTTGAGTCATCAAGATGCCTCTGCAGCCACAATTCTGACCTAAGTGGCAGGGCCCAGAAATCTTGAAAACCTCCCGCTGCCCTTTGTGGTACTTCCTGTGCTCCCTCAGAGAGAGGGAGAGAAACGGAGTGACCTTTTTTCCTTTGCTTGATTGGCACTTCTCAGCCTGTCTCCCTGGACAGCAGGCGGCTGCTGCCCTTCTCTGGGCATCTTCTGAATGTTTACACTGGTACCTTCTGGTATCTTCTTTAGAGCCCCCTGCAAGCTGCAACCCAAGGCTTTTATCTTGCAGGGTCAGAGCGCCCTCTAGAGGGAAAAGCTAGAGGCACAGGGTTTCTGCTGGCCCGCAACTGCTGTCTTAATTAGGTTTAAATTCATGCATTTTACAGCAAAGTGCTGAGAGCCTCGTAGTTACCTCCTGCCATCTGATCTCCCTCCCCACCATTCCCATACTCAGTTGTTCTTTTGTCTAACCGGAGGCCACTGTGCCGAGGCCCTGCAGTGTCTGCTCACTGCTGCCATCTTCGCTGCTAATCAGGGTTCCATCCTCTTTCCCCTCTCCCAGTTCCCCACCACGTTGGATCCCATTTGTCACCCATGCTAGGGTCCCCAAAGCACTGGGGCAGGGGCCAGAGCAGCAGCACCCAGTGCTCCCCTCTCCCACCCCGACCTGGAGTCAGAAGCAGATGCTCCACGCACACACACCCCAGCCCTGTCCCAGGGGCCCGGCCTCCTCAGCCATCTCAGGGTGAGGAGCTGTCAGTCATGTCCAGATGGAATGGAGTCGCTGACTCGCATCCTTTCCTCACCTCCCCTTTGACAAGCCTCAAACTGCTCAGTTCATCGAAGGGCCATTGCCAACTTCCGTATGTGGTTCTGGGTCCCAGGGAGCCTTGGAACCTGGCCCCCTGGGGTGGTTTAATTCACCATGTGCATTCCTGCTTCTCTGGGGACACGGTGGGCCAGCATGGTCCCTGGGCTGGAGCAAACGCGTCTCCATCTCTTCCACCTCAGACGGTGTGGCTCCGGATATCAGGAGGGACTGACCTCAGGACCTGTGCCAGGAACAAGAGGCCAGGCCCGATGCTGCCACCGCGCCTTGCCCCTGAAGTGAGAGCAGGCCAGCCGGGCAGGAAGCACGCTGTTTACTTTTTGCATGAAAAGTAAATTTGTACTTGATAGAGCTAAAATATGATCTTTTTAAATTTCTCGACCCCATAATTTGAGCCATTGCCTTGCTTAATTTTGGTCTCCACCATTTCCTTCTAGTGGAGAAGAGAGGAAGTCAGAGGGTGGGGACCTTTGCCTGCCCCTGGGCGAGTGGGGGCAGGGATCTGAGACCAGATTGTTCTTGCACCCCTGCCAGAACTCACTCTCGCCTGAAGTTTAGGGTCCCATCTCCCAGATGTAAGTTGCTTTGCAATCAGTTGTTTGCCAGGATTTCTTTCTTTCCTAATCTTAAATTCACAGATAAAGCAATGAAAAGAGTCAGATCCCATTTCCGTCTGCCCCCTCGCCGCCAGGTCTGATAGCCCCAGCCACGCCACACCTGGCCTCATGCTTTCAGCTGAGACCTGAAAAGGATACTGTGGCGGAAGAGCATGTGGGGCTTGGTGGGGGGGCCCTAGGGTTTGTGGGTGGCAGAGGGGGTGGTGGGACCTTTCCCAGGAGGTACCAGCACCTGCCTCGATCTCCTGTGAGCCTCGTCTGCCCCCAGGCGGCCAGGTGAGGTCAGCAGCCTGGGAGAGTGCCCCCAAGAGATGAGGGCACCCCGTGTTCCTTGGCAGTCTTGACTCGCCTTGGTAACAAAAGGCCATAGAAGTCTGTTTTTCTGGGTCAGTTTTTTTCAAATGTCTTTGCCTGAGAATAACAAATTGCTGCTGTCTACCTTTAGCACACCCGATAATTCTATTTGGGGCAGTGAATGTGCAGAAGATATAAAAATATGCAGCTTAACTATATCTTCCTGCATGTGTATTTATTTTCTTCTGGGTCTAGGCCGTGGGACAGGAGAACTGTGGCGTGTAGGAGGAATACTTCAGGGTGAGTGAAGGCTGGAGCCAGGGAGCGCTGGGGAAACCAGCCTTTAGCCAGCAGTCCCTCCACCACAGGCGCTGCCGTGGTGGAGCTACTCAAGAACCAGTTCTTGGAGTAAATCCCATGCTTTCTGCAGCCTGTAGTCGTTCTGACCCCTTGGAACAACCACCCCGTGACTTGTGTGTGGTTTCGCAGGGAAAGGGGCTGGCTTCTAGGTTCCCGAGATAAGTTTGCAGGGGGCTGGGCCAGGGCCAGGCTAAGGGTGGCTCAGTTCCATCATCTAGAGCTCAGACACTCTGCCCAGAGGCAGAACTGAAGCCCTCTCAGCCCCTACCCTAAGCCAGCCACCCCTCTTCACAGTGGGTGGACTGGGCTGGGCCCGCCGGGCTGACTGGCATGAGGCCAAGGGGCAGGCCTGAGCGCCAGAGTCACCCAGGTTAGCCCACAGGATTCCTTTGTGTGCCATGGAATGCCGAAAGATGGGTGACTGGGGACCCTTCTTAAAACCCTTGGCAAGGGTGCCATCGGCACAGCTTGGCCCCATGAAGTCTCGGGTCCATGTTCCCACGGGGCGCACATGCTTACAGAGTCCTCAGCAGGGTGGCCGAGGCCAGGCCTCTTCTGCTGAGGAGGGTGCAGGCTGGGGTGTGGGTGTGGCCGGGGGTGGCTCAGGGCTGGAACTGCTGCCTGATTCAGTGGCCGTTGGCTGCCACTGACAAGGATTTCACATGCAGAAGAGAAAAGGTCCCCCTCTGCCCCCCAGATTCCCTGCCGAGTGAGTGCCAGTGTGTGCTGCCCTTGCTGGGGACAGGTAGGAAACCCTGAGCTTCCTGATGCAGTCATGAAGCAGTGTCCTTGGGAAGGCGTCTCCAGAGCTCCGGGCCCTCCGCCTAACGCCCTCCGTCTCAGTCAGATAAAGGCTTCAAGAGAATAAAGAGCCAGCCCCCTTCCATTTAGGCTCCTGCCATTTCCCAAACAGTTCTCCAACAGTTAGACATTGAGGGGCTTCACTGTTAGCAGGCATGTAACAGAAGGAAGACTAATACACACCCCTGCCCTGTCCCATCCCCCTCCCCCGAGCCAGTTTCTTGCTGTGCTCTCTGGTGCCCTTGAGTTGGTCTCCCTGGCTGCTCTGCGGGGGCTTCACTGGCTTTGGGGTGAATGCGAAGTGCTGGTGAGCAGTGGGCCTGTGACTGGATAGGAAGATATGCATCCGTGGTCAAAAGTCACCTGCCAGCCCTGCGGAGACAGAGCCTCAGGCCGGGATGGGAAGGCCCCCCTACTCCCATCTGGATGGTGGGCACGGCCTGGCTTATACCAAAGGCATTGACGGTTTCTCCAAGTAGGGATCTGCAAAGCTTGAATTGTCAAGATGGATGTGAATCTTACATTCCTTTTCATCATTTCCTATGTAAAAATGAAGAGTGCTGGGTTTTTGTTTTAAGAAGCATTATGAAGGCCAGACGTACTCATTTTTATCCTGCAAGTGAGCTGGGAGAGGCCCCTGTTAGGCCCGTTTCCTGAGCAGTGCTGTGCTGCTCTTCTTGATGGGGCTTCGGGCTGGGGGGGGGGAAAGCGGGTCAGAGGTGGGGGGGCCTGTGGCTGCCATGCGGGAGCCCCTGCACCGTCTTGGGCTCTTTAAGGGAGTCAGGAATAGATGTGTGAACAGTTGTGTCACTGGATGCCTATTTAGAAATAAAGTGTATGCTGCTGAATCGGAGCCAGTGTCTGTTCATGTTCAGGTGGCTTTGCAGATGCACAGGTCACACCTAGACTGGGCTCTGTGGCACACAGCTACCCAGCCCCTGGGCCGGTGGCAGCCATGTCACCAGGAAGTGCAGTGTTTAGGAGCAGGGCTGGGTCAGGGCAGCCTGTGTCTGGTTCCCACCTTTGGCCCTCAGTGAGGAGCATGTGAGGCTCAGCCCCCAGCCAGGCTCAGCTTCTCACAATGCTGGGAGCCCTTCCTCCCTGGGTTCGCTGGCTGTCCGCCCAGGCTGCAGGGCCGCCTGGCCTCCTGCTCGGGGCTTGTAGATCAGTGCCCCATAGGCCTTTGCCTGATGGTGAAATGGGGAACTTCTGTCACTGAACCTGCCCTCCCGCAGGAGTGGGGGCGTCCATAGCCTCTGATCGGAGGTGGTGGCGAGTGGGGGAAGAAGGGTCACGAGTTCATCTATACCCCCACGTACTTCCAAAGGCATCCAAGCTGCTGATGGTAACAGGCATGAACCAAAAATGCATGTGATATAAAATGAAACCAGTCAGGAGAAGCTGTCCTGGCCCCGGCCACGGGGCAAGAGCCGAGTTTCCTGGTTCCTTCCCACCCTATGCTTCAGCCCACCCTAGGGGAGACTCCCAAGGCCACAGTGGGCTCGCCTTGGTCTGCTTTTGGTGGAAACCCAGATTCAGAGAAATACTTCTCCACCATAATAAAAACTGCAAGTGTGATGACAAGTGGTAGCTGACACTTGGCCTCAGTGTCAGGGAGGCACCACGAGAATGATGAGGACTCTGGCTGACAGCAGAATTTTCCAGGCCAGGCCTGCCTGTGAGGGTGGCTGGGAAGTGGGGCTGTGCCGTGCCGAGCCGTGTCAGCTGGGACAGAACACAGTGCTGGCAGCAAAGGTAGGCGGCGGTCCTGAGTGGGCACCTCGCTCCCATGAAGGGAACAGGGCATGTCTCATTTGTATTTCAACCTTCTCAACTCCTAGAAAAAGCTCTTAGGGTAGAGGGGAGCAATCGAGGCAAGAAATATTTTCCTTAGAGGCTAGAAAGCTGGCGGGGGGCTGGAGGGTCACGCACAAACTTGAGGGCCCTGTAACCCCCGCTTATTATTCCACAGGGCACTAGGGGAATTAAGCTGGCCTGAAGGGGGACCCCACTGCCTCTTGGAGGCAACCCCCCACCCCAGGCAAGGGACAACACAGCCCTGTGGCTCTAGCCAGAGCAGATGGGAGACATGAAGGGCAGTGGGGGTCAGGGGCCAGTACAGTCATCTCAAGGCCCTGAGTGACAGGAAGTGCCCCATAAATGGGGGTCCTCTTTGTGAGTATCTGTGGACCTGCAGGAGAGCAGGCAGGCATCAGCCACACTCCCCCTGCCTGGGGAGACCGCCTGGCAGACCTGGGGGTCTTAGCATCAGTCGGGACCAGTCCAGTGCTGGGGACAGAAGGAACTTCTGCGCATACAGGCAGCTGCCAGCTGATAGCCTGATGTAAATGAGGAAGAAAATAAGTCTTTGCTTAGAAAAAAAAAGGCCACAAAAAAGTAGTTGGTTCATTTTGTAGCGAAGATGAGCCATATACTCCTATCTGCTGGTGGGAGGGCAGCTAGCTCACACTCTCCAGAGGACACTGTGGTGACAGCTCTCCAAAGCCTGAAAACGGCCCAGCAGTTCCACTCATGGGGCAAAAGGAAAGTGCATGAAAATTGCACTCCAAGAATGGCCATCCTGGCAATATCTGAATGAGGAAAAATGGAAAACCACTTCTTTGTCCATGAATGGGGGATTGGTGAGATAAATAACGATAGAATGTTTACCAACAATTCAAGATTCTAAGGATGTGGAAAAACGTTTAGAATGTTATCAGGCCAGCATTTTACCACCTTTAGAGAGAGAGAAGCATTTCACCCTCTCCTTAAATGCTGTTCAAGATTTCAAAATGACTAAAAATGAAAGTAGAAATTTTAGTACATCCTTTTATAAAAATACACATACTGGTACTCCAGCACACACCCATTCATCCCTAATATGGAAGACCTGGTGGTTGGGCCCTGTTGTCTTTGCTAAGAGAACCCATGTGGTTCGTGTAATGAGTGACTGTATGCTTCAAGGGGAAACAGAGCCGGTTCTCAGTTCAGGCTATTCCCGGTCCTTCCCTCTGCTTGTCTGAGATTGGCTGAGGTATGGGTCTATGACCTTATTTGGCAGGAGAATAAAGCGATTAAAAACACACACACACACACACACACACACACAAAACGGAGTCTCGCTCTGTCGCCCAGGCTGGAGTGCAGTGGCACGATCTCAGCTCATGGCCACTGCAATCTTTGCCTCGTGGGTTCAAGCGATTCTCCTGTCTCAGCCTTCCGAGTAGCTAGGACTATAGGCCCCCGCCACCACGCCCGGCTAATTTTGTATTTTTAGTAGAGATGGGGTTTCACCATGTTGGCCAGGCTGGTCTTGAACTCCTGACCTCAAGGGATCCACCTACCTCAGCCTCCCAAAGTGCTGGGATTATAGACTTGAGCTACCGCATCCGGCCGATTATAGGTAACTTTTAAAATCTTGCTGTTTGCATATATTTTCTATTTCTCTCATAAAGAATATTAATTCAACAATAAGGAACACACATGTTCTTTGACCAGAACTAGAGGAGCAGCGCATTGGATGGAGTGACGTGAAGGCCCCTAGGGAAACAGGTGAGGGTCCAAACTGATGCAGTCACCACGGGGAGGGTGGCGGCCCTTCCACCCACGATTCCTCTCCTAGCCCTGGGGCAAAGATTGGCAAATTACTGCCTGTGGCCCAAATCCAGCCTGCCTCCTGTGTCTGTACTACCTAAGAGCGAAAAATGGTGTTAACATTTTTTAAAGGTTGGGGGAAAAAACAGAAGAATAAGGCCAGGTGTGGTGGCTCACACCTGTAATCCCAACACTTTGGGACGCCAAGGCGGGAAGACTGCTTGAGCAGGAGTTTGAGACCAGCCTGGGCAACATAGGGAGACCCTGTCTCTATATGCAATTGAAAAAAACTAGCCGGCATGTTGGTGTACACCTGTGGTCCCAATTACTCAGAAGGCTGAGGCAAGAGGACCACCTGAACCCAGGAGGTCAAGGCTAAAGTGAACTATGATCGTGCTACTGCACTGTAGCCTGGGTGATAGAATGAGACTGTGTCTCAAGGGAAAAAAAAAAAATCATAGATTCACAAGAAGTTGCAAAAAAAACGTACAGAAAGGTCCCATGTACCCTTCACCCCATTACCCCCAGTGGTAACATCTTGCACAACTACAGAATAGTTTCACAACTAAGAAACTGGCATTGCCACAGTCCACAGATCTTGTTCTTCAAAGATCTTCAAAAAAAAAAAACTGTAAAACTTCACTAGTTTTACAGGCACTCGCATGTGTATATTTAGTTCTATGCGATTTTATATTGTGTAGATTCGCATAACCACCATCACAGGGAAGCTTCTTTTTATAGAAGTATTCCAGCTGCCAAAGACGAAATCATTGAATTGGAATATCTCTATTTTGTAACTTCCAGTGAAATAATGGATCTAAGTGGGAAGTAACAGCCTTAATAGCTAATTCCCCAAAGGGAGAGAACTCGACATCATATGCCTCCGGATGAGAGAATATGCATCAAGTATTCTTACCACAGAGATCAAACCCAAATCCAAGCAAACCCCAAGAGCCAACTACCATGCAATGCATGCACACATTCAACACCCTTTCGTCATAAAAACACTCAACAAGCTAGGAATAGAGGGAAACTACCTCAACATAATACAGGCCATCTAGGATAACAGCTGACATCATACTCAATGGCGAATGACTGGAAGCTTATCCTCTAAGATCAGGAGCAAGGCAAGGATGCCTGCATTCACCACTTCAATTCGATGTAGTACTGGAAGTTCTAGCCAGAGCAATTAAGCAAGAAAAAGAAATAAAATATACCCCAGTTGGTAAGGAAGAAGTTAAATTTATCTCACAGATGACATGATCTTATATGTAGACAACCCTAAAGATTCCACAAGAAAAAAAACTGTTCAAACTAATAAATTCAGCAAAGTTGCAGGATACAAAGTCAACACACAAAAGTCAGCTGCATTTCTATAAACAATGAACAATCAGAAAAGGAAATTAAGAAAAAAATCCCATTTATAATAGCATCAAAAAGAATTAAATAGGAATAAATTTAACCAAGCAGCAAGAAAGACTTGTACACTGAACACTATAAAACATTGCTGAAAGAAATTTTAAAAGATACAAATAGGCCAGGCATGGTGTCTCATGCCTGTAATCCCAGCACTTTGGGAGGTCAACACAGCGGGATCACTTGAAGCCAGGAATTCAAGACCGGCCTGGGCAACACAGTGAAACCCTGTTTCTACCAAAAAAAAATTTAGAATTAGCCATGTATGGCACATGCCTGTGGTGCCAGTTACTTGGGAGGTTGAGGTGGGAGGATCTCTTGAGCCGAGAGTTCAAGGCTGCAATGAGCCATGATTGCACCACTGCACTCCAGCCTGGGTGATAGAACAAGACCCTGTCTCAAAAAAAAAAAAAAAAAAAAAAAAAAAAAAAACTATACTGCTGAAAGTGGATCTACAGATTCAATGCAATCCCTATAAATGGCATTTTTTACAGAAATAGAAAAATAAAACCATCCTAAAACTCATATGGGATCTCAAGGGACCCTGAATAGCCAAAACAATCTTAAAAAAGAACAAAGTTGGAAGCCTTACACTTCATGATTTCAAAACATATTACAGAGCTACAGTAATCAAACTAGTGTGGTACTGGCATGAAAACAGGTATACACTCATAAACCAATGGAATGGAATAGACAGCCCAAAAATAAACCCTCACATATATGGTCAAATGATGTTCTACAAAAGTACTAAAACCACTCAGTGGGGAAAAGACGGTCTCTTCACCAGATAGTGCTGGGAAAACTGGACATTCATAAGGAAAGAATGAAGTTAGACCCCTACCC